AGCATACTTCATCCCCCACCTCCAATTTGAACCTGCAGCAAAAATTGTTATTATGATTATTTATTTTTGTTGTTGTTGTTGTATTTTATAGTCATATATTTATTGATGGTCTGGTTTAAGTTAGTCGTTCGTTTGGTCGTTGTACGATAAACGGCGCTTTGTTTGTGTGTGTGTGTGTGTCGGGATTGCATAATTTTCGTCTCACAGTCATGAATTGGACAGACCTGTTTGTTTGCTAGATGGGGAGGTTGAGCTTTTGCACATGCGCACCACCGATCATGATGGCTCTTTAACAAATTCAAGAAGTTCGATAGGTTCTCTGTAAAGAGGAGGAGGAACTTTTATTATTGGACACGTGGTTCGTCATGCTCTCTTCTACAGACCCAGCCGACTTCACTGCCAATTTTTTTGTTCGGTTTTTTTTTTCTTGTAAAATTTTTTTGACAGCTATGGTCATGAATATCAACTAGTCAATTCTTAAAATATTACAACACCCTGAATGGATGGCTGGTGGTCGGCGGACGGTCTGTGCTAGAAGTTTTAGTGGTCATGTTCCTATTTACAGTTTTGGACAAATTTGGAATTTCCCCTCGGTGATTTGGTTTTTGGCCACCATGTAATGCAGAGAATATTAAATGGCCTGCAGCGTGCCGGCATAACGTTACAATTCTTTGGAGGGTGGAGGTATCGGTGTATGTTATTGATGGGTGCCACACGATTATGTAATACAGAATAATATCTGTTTACCTGAATTGGTAATTTTATTTTTTTTTATTAATTGATAAAAAATTAAGAATTCCAAAAAGGTAGAAGGTCCGGACAAGAAAAAAATTACCGCTGAAAAAAAAATATTTTTTCAAGAGCCATTACAGGTGCAGATTTGTAAAAAAGATTTTTTGAGGCCTTAACAGAGGCGTAAATTTTTTAAATATTTTTTTCAAAAAGACTAGACAAGGCGCAGGAGTGGCGTAGGGGCTGATAGATACTAAGCAACGGCTCTGATTGGCTCTACCATGGCTATGTCCAGGCTTATCTTGGTGGTCCCTCTTTCATCTCAATTGTGGACACTGACCTCCCACCTGGGGTAGCTATTTTCATCACCTGATGAAATAGTGAGCTAATATGTGCCTCGAGTTCACCCATATGAACCATACAAATATGGGTTGAGACGTCGGGTTAGTTGCCCACTCTCGGAACCCCAACCTACTATGAAAAAGCAAAGAATAAGAAAACCAAACCCACGTAATGTTGACCACCCCCGCAAACGTATAAATGACCACGATCTGCGAATCTGCACTTGGAATGTGCGCATGTTGTACAGAACAGGCGCAGTGTTCGCTTTGGCGGATCGACTCAAGAAGTACAAAGCCGATATTATTGCCTTACAGGAAATACGATGGAAAGGAACAGGCGTAAGTAAATCAGACGATTACGCCCGGTATTATAGCTACCATGAAACGAGACATTAATTTGGCTGCGGATTTATGCTTAACTGGAGAATAAAAGACCTCGTCTTCAGATTCACTCCTGTAGATGAGCGTATTGCTATAATCCGTATAAAAGCGAAGTTCTTCTACATCAGTCTTATTTGCGCCCATGCCCCGACCGAAGACAAAGATGAGCAGACCAAAGACATAGTTTACGAGCGCCTAGAAACAGCATATGATCGCAGCCCTGGCCATGACATTAAAATTCTGCTGGGAGATTTTTAATGCAAAAATCGGAATGGAAAATATCTTTGGCCCCACCGTTGGAAAATTCAGCCTTCATGAAGAAAGAAATCCGACAACGGCATAAGGTTGATTGACTTCGCGGCAGCCTAAAAACATGGTATTTAGCAGCACCAGATTCAAGCATCTCGTTATACCCAAGGCCACCTGGATTTCTCCCGATCGAACAACGAGAAATGAAATTGATCATGTTGTGATAGACAGAAGGCATTCATCCAGTGTATTAGACGTTCGATCGATACGAGGAGGGAATGTCGATTCGGACCATTTCCTTGTAGCAGCCAAGGTTCGCACTCGTCTTAATGCTACAGCAAAGGTGCGGAAATTTTCACGGAAATTTGATGTCGAAAAGCTGCAAACACAACAGGAAGCAGAGGCCTACTCCGCTCAACTTACCCACATGCTTGACGAAAGCACTTCTTGTCCCGATAATAGTATAGAAGCGCAATGACAGAGAATTGTCCACTCCCAAACTCCCAAACTGCAGCAAAATCAACACTTGGGTAAAACTTCTGGTATCAAATAGTAGCGGTGAAGAAGATACCCCAGAACCAATAATAGATGACGATATAGAGTGTATACCACCTAGCCAAGATGAAGTCGGAATAGCAATCAATCGGCTGAAGAATAATAAAGCAGCAGGTGCCGATGGGTTACAAGCCAAACTATTCTAGACTGGTGGTCAGATGCTGGTAAGCAGCATGCACCAGCTGATTAATAAAATTTTTCTAGCGGAATGAATTCACAATGATTGGAACCTCAGCATCCTGTGTCCCGTGCACAAAAAAGGAGACATGACGATATGTGCCAACTATAGAGGAATTAGCCTCCTTCCCATCGTATATAAAGTGCTATCCAGCGTACTGTGTGAACGACGAAGCCAATGGTCAATGACATTATTGGACCATATCAATGCGGCATTAGACCTGGCAAATCCACTATTGACCAGATTTTCACTCTGCGCCAAATCCTGGAAAAGACCCACTAGAAATACATCGACACATTCCATCTAGTCGTCGACTATAAAGCCGCATTCGACAACCCTATCCGTTCAGAGGTGTATGAAGCCATGTATGCGTTTGGCATTCCTGCAAAATTAATACGGCTATGCAGGATAACTTTAAGTGGCACAATCAGCAGTTAAAGTCGGAAAGGACCTCTCGGAGCCCTTCCGAATACCGAAAGAGGATTCAGACAAGGTGATAGTTTGTCGTGTGACCTTTTTAACATCCTGCTGGAAAAGGTCATACGAGAGGCAAACGTGAACAGAAATGGTGCTCTGTAAACCAAACAACACATGTTACTCGCCTACGCCGATGACATCGACATAATGTGTCGATCATTGCGAGCGGTAACAGTCACCTTTGAACAAATTGAAAAGGAGTCTGAAAAAGTGGGTCTGGCAATAAACGGCGAAAAGACCAAGCTGATGCTATCAACGCGCAAGATGTCCAGTAGACTCGGACCAACTGTGGAACTTGAGAACTACAGCTTCGAGGTAGTCAAAGATTTTATATACCTTGGTACCGCCATAAACAAAACGAATGACATCAGTTTTGAAATTCGGAGAAAGATGGTGATGACCAACCGATGCTACTATGATCTGAGCAAAGAACTCAAAAGCAACCCACCTCCCGCCAGACCAAACTCACACTCTACAAGACGCTGATACTACCCGTGCTGTTATATATATATACGCTAACAGATTAGGCAGCTCTTGGAGTATTTGAGAGAAAATTTCTCAGAAAGATCTATGATCCGATGTGCGTTGACGGTGAATATCGCCGTCGAATGACCCATGAGTTGTACCAGCTATTCTCGGACATCGACATTGTTAGATGTATTGAGCTGCAGCGACTACGTTGGCTAGGTCATGTAGTGAGAATGGATGAAGATGCCCCAGCCCAGAAGTGAACCAGCTGATGATGGTTCACGCAGAAGGGGAAGGCCGCGAATAAAATGGAAAGATCAAGTGGAAGCCAAATTTGCCGAAATTGGAAAAACTGCGCAAAAGACCGACACGCCTGGAAATCTTTTTTAAGCTCGGCTTATGGAACGAAAGTTCTGTCACAAGCCAGCTAATTAAGACAAGGCGTAGATTTTTTAAAGAATTTTTTCCAGAGACTAGACAAGGTGTAGATTTAAAAAAAAATCCAGAGACTACACAAGGCGTAGATTAAAAAAAAATCCAGAGACTACACACGGCGTAGATTTTTTAAAGAATTTTTTCCAGAGACTATTGTTTCAATACACTCTGATACCGAAGCTCATGTTGATCTGCAACTATTGTTTCGATACATTCTGATACCGAAGCTCATGTTGATCTGCAACTATTGTTTCGATACATTCTGATACCGAAGCTCATGTTGATCTGCAACTATTGTTTCAATATACACTGTGATACCGAAGCTCATGTTGCTAAACTCAAACTTAAAAGCTCGTACTGATCCTATGTTATCGATAATGTTGTTGCTTAACAGCTATGGTAACCATGAGTCGGAAAACTTTCCTAAACTAACATAACTTAACATGTTAAAATTCATTACTTAGCTTTTGATTACAGTGACAGTCATAATTATAATGACAAACAAAAAATGATTTAAAAAATCCACGCCTCATTAAGACAATAAAAAATTATTTAAAAAATCCACGCCTTATATAGGCCTTGAAAAAAATTATTTAAAAAATCCACGCCTTATATAGGCCTTGAAAAAAATTATTTAAAAAATCCACGCCTTATATAGGCCTTGAAAAAAATTATTTAAAAAATCCACGCCTTATATAGGCCTTGAAAAAAATTATTTAAAAAATCCACGCCTTATATAGGCCTTGAAAAAAATTATTTAAAAAATCCACGCCTTATATAGGCCTCGAAAAAAATTATTTAAAAAATCCACGCCTTATATAGGCCTTGAAAAAAATTATTTAAAAAATCCACGCCTTATATAGGCCTTGAAAAAAATTATAGGCCTTTAAAAAATCCACGCCTTATATAGGCCTTGAAAAAAATTATTTAAAAAATCCACGCCTTATATAGGCCTTGGAAAAAATTATTTAAAAAATCCACGCCTTATATAGGCCTTGGAAAAAATTATTTAAAAAATCCACGCCTTATATAGGCCTTGGAAAAAATTATTTAAAAAAATAATTTAGGGTTTTTTGTAAAACATTTTTATTGACTAGCTCGTAAGGTCCTAACATAGATAATTACGAATACTGATACCTAACTTAATAACTAATTCTCCTGATTTTTTCCATGACCCCCTTATTTTATATTTTTCCACTATTCCCCCTTGTGGCCAAATATGGTCGCTCTTCACTGGGACATTCAAAGACCTCAAAGGCCTTTGGATGAAAGCTGTCATCCTTGGCTCCCACGGGCTGCAACATATTATTCCACAGCATATTGGCCACCGCGGCGTGACCCAATTGACTCAGATGAAAACAGTCAGGACCAAAATATCGATAATCGGTATTTCCTTTCCGATTCGTTGGAGTATACCAATTTCGCATTAATGGCTGATAGACCACCGCAAAGTCGTCACTTTGAAATTCCGGCAAATTAGCAACCTCTTCATCGATTTCTTGAACCTTTCGTACCGCCTTCGATAGGTCCTGTAATTGCTGGGGATCATGTTTCCTTCTTACTATACAATGGCAGGCAAAAATATGCGTTGCCTCACATGCCAATGGCAGGTTATTTATCCCCTTTACTATATCCGGAATATTCGGTGTGGACATTACATTCACCAAGGCCCGTGGTATGTGGGCCTTGAGAATTTCCAAAGTCTTGTAAAGGCTACGACGATGCACCTGATAAAATTCCTCCATTGTCCGATAATAACACATATCAAAGCAGACATCATTGCCCCCGATGAAGAGGGTAATGAGTTTCCAATGCTTCGACATATCCACCTTGGGATCCCTTTCGAGGCGCCGAATCAAAACCCTTGCCTGGTATGGCATATCCAAGGTCAAGGCACTACCTTCGCCAACATTAAAACGTGAAGCCCTTTCACGGGACACCACATTGCCAATGGCATAGCCATAGAGTTGGGGATTAAATACCTTAATAATATTCGGCAGGGTGAGAAAGGTTCTCCAATCTCGCAGACCACCACCTGTGGACACCACACCACGATATTCGGCAATATCATCCAGAAGGCTTTCCGACATGATGGCTGTTCCTGCAGTCAACGAATCTCCCATGGCAGCAATTATGTCAATATCACCGGGACGTAGACGATGCACGGAGTCGGGTACCTCCGCCGAGCGGGTTCCATTCAGCGGGCAGGGGAATTTTTGCGACTTTTGTATTTTCTTTTGCAACTTTCCCCTTTGACGATTCAGTTCCAAATTCGCCTTTTCATTGCGATTTACCAGACTGCCCCGGAAGACGCTGTAAATATCGCGGAGATTTTCGAAGTTAGTATAAATTGGCAAATGGCTGCCGCGAGCATTCACAGGAGTAAAGGGTTCCCGCTGGATGCCGGACAAACGCAAAAGTTCATCAATGGCTTGTTGTTGGGCAAAAATCGGGAATACGAAGTGGCAGATGACAAGGGCAGAGCTACAAAATTTAAGCATCTGGAAAAAATCGAAAAAAAAATAAATTAGATTGTTTTTTAAAATATTTTTTCAAGGGTCGTGGATTTTTTTAAAAATATTTTTTCAAGGGTCCTCCTAAGGCGTGGATTTTTTAAAAATATTTTTTCAAGGGTCCTCCTAAGGCGTGGATTTTTTAAAAATATTTTTTCAAGGGTCCCCCTAAAGCGTGGATTTTTTAAAAATATTTTTTCAAGGGTCCTCCTAAGGCGTGGATTTTTTAAAAATATTTTTTCAAGGGTCCTCCTAAGGCGTGAATTTTTTAAAAATACTTTTTCAAGGGTCCTCCTAAGGCGTGGATTTTTTAAAAATATTTTTTCAAATGTTCTCCTAAGGCGTGGATTTTTTAAAAATATTTTTTCAAGGGTCCTCCTAAGGCGTGGATTTTTTAAAAATATTTTTCAAGGGTCCCCCTGAGCCGTGGATTTTTTAAAAATATTTTTTCAAGGGTCCCCCTAAACCGTGGATTTTTTAAAAATATTTTTTCAAGGGCCCCCCTAAGGCGTGGATTTTTTAAAAATATTTTTTTCAAGGGTCCCCCTAAGGCGTGGATTTTTTAAAAATATTTTTTCAAGGGTCCCCTAAGGCGTGGATTTTTTAAAAATATTTTTTCAAGGGTCCCCCTAAGGCGTGGATTTTTTAAAAATATTTTTTCAAGGGTCCCCCTAAGGCGTGGATTTTTTAAAAATATTTTTTCAAGGGTCCCCCTAAGGCGTGGATTTTTTAAAAATATTTTTTCAAGGGACCCCCTAAGGCGTGGATTTTTTAAAAATATTTTTTCAAGGGTCCCCCTAAGGCGTGGATTTTTTAAAAATATTTTTTCAAGGGTCCCCCTAAGGCGTGGATTTTTTAAAAATATTTTTTCAAGGGTCCTCCTAAGGCGTGGATTTTTTAAAAATATTTTTTCAACGGTCCTCCTAAGGCGTGGATTTTTTAAATATATTTTTTCAAGGGTCCCCTAAGACGTGGATTTTTTAAAAATATTTTTTCAAGGGTACCCCCAAGGCGTGGATTTTTTAAAAATATTTTTTCAAGGGTCCCCTAGGGCGTGGATTTTTTTAAAAATATTTTTTCAAGGGTCCCCTAGGGCGTGGAGTTTTTTTTAAAAATATTTTTTCAAGGGTCCTCCTAAGGCGTGGATTTTTTAAAAATATTTTTTCAAGGGTCCCCTAAGGCGTGGATTTTTTAAAAAATATTTTTTCAAGGGTCCCCCTAAGGCGTGGATTTTTTAAAAATATTTTTTCAAGGGTCCCCCTAAGGCGTGGATTTTTTAAAAATAGTTTTTCATGGGTCGCCTTGACGTCGCCTAGGGCGTGGATTTTTTAAAAATATTTTTTCAAGGGTCCCCCTAAGGCGTGGATTTTTTAAAAATATTTTTTGAAGGGTCCCCCTAAGGCGTGGATTTTTTAAAAATATTTTTTTCAAGGGTCCCCCTAAGGCGTGGATTTATTAAAAATATTTTTTTTCGAGGATCCCCCTAAGGCTTGGATTTTTTAAAAATATTTTTTCATAGGTCCCCCTAAGGCGTGGATTTTTTAAAAATATTTTTTCAAGGGTCCTCCTAAGGCGTAGATTTTTTAAAAATATTTTTTCAAGGGTCGCCTTGACGTCGCCTAGGGCGTGGATTTTTTAAAAATATTTTTTCAAGGGTCGCCTTGACGTCGCCTAGGGCGTGGATTTTTTAAAAATATTTTTTCAAGGGTCGCCTTGACGTCGCCTAGGGCGTGGATTTTTTAAAAATATTTTTTCAAGAGTCGCCTTGACGTCGCCTAGGGCGTGGATTTTTTAAAAATATTTTTTTCAAAGTTCATACTTACATTGTTTGTCGTCGGATTATTTAACCTTTGCAATTTTTTTTTCTTCTTCTTCTTCTTCTCCCCCTCAACAAATCTTCCGTGTATTGTTGACTGCACTTCTGTAGAGATTCTCAATATCAACTGTTTAGATGCGGCGATCAATTAGAACTAACCCAATCACCCCATCGGTAGTGATTGGATATGGTCAGTTTCCTACCCCTCAATCCTACACCCTCCTCTCTTCGGAAAACAAGTTTTATTTTTCTACTAGAATTTAATTGATGATTGGCATTCTAAAAAAAAATATATGCTAAAGAAAGGGCATTCTTAATTCCGGTTCATATATAAAATCGCACATATCGCAACCGCATATGCGCCAGCATTCGAATCTGTGCGAAATATAAAAATATCGAAACAAATGTTGAGTTAAATATTGTCTTTGTTATGAATTCTTCTATCCCAGCCAAATCGCCGTCACCCATACTCATCTCATCTCGATCGAATATTAATTATTATGCAAAATGTTCGGTGATAATTTGAAACATAATAGCTGCGGACAGAGGAAGTATGAAAGCGGCTAAAAATGAAATAGGTTATGGAAATTTTTATTGTTTTTTTTTTTTTTTTTAGATTTTAAATTATGTTTTTTATTTTATGTTTTGAAGATTAGAGCATTCAAAAAAAAAAAAAAAAATAAATAATAATAATGGCACGTGACTTTAATCGATTGCAGAACAATCTCCTTGTTACTTGCTTCTAAATGTACGCCTTTGGAAAGGTTTTCATTATTTTATTTATTTAAAATCCGCGCTACGTGGGCGAATTTGGAACTGAATCGTCAAAGGGGGAAATTACAAAAGAAAATACCAAAATCACAAAAATTCCCTTGCCCGCTGAATGGAACCCGTTCCGACGAGGTACCTGACTCCGTGCATCGTCTACGTCCCGGTGATATTGACATAATTGCTGCCATGGGAGATTCGTTGACTGCATGAACGGCCATCATGTCGTAGAGTCTCCTGGATGATATTGCCGAATATCGTGGTGTGGTGTGCACAGGTGGTGGTCTGCGAGATTGGAGAACCTTTCTCACCCTGCCAAATATTTTTAAGGTATTTAATCCCCAACTCTATGGCTATGCCATTGGCAATGTGGTGTCGCGTGAAAGGGCTTCACGTTTTAATGTGGGCGAAGGCAGTGCCTTGACCTTGGATATGCCATATCAGGCCAGGGTTTTGATTCGGCGACTCGAGACGGACCCTAAGGTCGATATGTCAAAGCATTGGAAGCTAATTACCCTCTTAATAGGGAGCAATGATGTCTGCTTTGATATGTGTTATTATCGGACCATGGAGGAATTTTACCAAAGTACATCGTCGTAGCCTTTACAAGACTTTGGAAATTCTCAAGGCCCACATACCACGGGCCTTGGTAAATGTAATGTCCACACCGAATATTCCAGATATAGTAAAGTGTATAAATAACCTGCCATTGGCATGTGAGGCAACGCACATCTTTGCCTGCCACTATATAGCAAGAAGGAAACATGATCCGCAGCAATTGCAGGACCTATCGAAGGCGATGAGAAAGGTTCAAGAAATCGATGAAGAAGTTGCTAATTTGCAGGAATTTCAAAGTGACGACTTTGCGGTGGTCTATCAACCATTGATGCGGAATTGGTATACCCCGACGAATCGGAAAGGAAATACCGATTATCGATACTTTGGTCCTGATTGTTTTCATCTGAGTCAATTGGGTCACGCCGCGGTGGCCAATATGCTGTGGAATAATATGTTGCAACCGGTGGGAGCCAAGGATGACAGCTTTCATCCAAAGGCCTTTGAGGTTTTTGAATGTCCCAGCGAAGAGAGGCCATATTTGGCCACAAGGGGGAATAGTGGAAAAATATGAAATAAGGGGGTCATGGAAAAAATCAGGAGAGTTAGTTATTAAGTTAGGTATCAGTATTCGTAATTATCTATGTTAGGACTGTTTAGGCGAGGGACTTGCTCAACTCCTCGCCTTGGTGTTGATGGAGGGGGTGTGCAAATAATTAACTCGAGGGAGCGGGGGGATGACGACAACGAGAGCTCCCAAGCAGTTAATGGTGATACGCGCGTGTGGTGCAAATGCAAAGAAAAGAGAAGATATAGCAAGGAAATAAAACACAAGTGATTAATATAATATTCAATTCATTGGTTTTATTGGTGATTCTTCTTCTTCTTCTTTTCGTACAACAAATAAATTACCTTTGTGTAATTTGGTGTGGTGGCGTCAGAGGCCTGTTAGTGCTAACACGTAGATGTTAGCTCGACAAGAGTTAGTTAGCAAGTGAACGCAGAGGTTCACGTGGATCGCAGAGGATCGTTGGATTTTAATGATCTTTGTATTTGTGCAGCTACAACTACATACCCATATTCCAGTAAGAGAGTGTCAAGCAAGGGGAGCAAACCAACAACAACCGTTGCCCTTTGGTATATACGCTCTGCGGTGTCCGCGGAGGGAACTTGCAGAGGCAATACCCGAGCTGTCAATCAGCATCCGTGATCGACTGAGCTCAGGAAGTTGTAGGCCAATGTATCAAACTTAAACATTCCGGCCCCCTTGCTACGACCGACTAAGTAGCAATAAAAATGGAATATGGGTTAGTTAAATCTTTCAAATGAACGTAAATTCAGATTTCAAGTGAGCAGTTCAAAGTTACGAGTTACAAGATTAGCGATATGTATAGTAAATAGGCGATATCTATGTTCAAACCGATATTTGATTTACGAAAATGGTCAATTTCAACATCGGTGCGTGATTAGGTGCTAGTAAGTTGAGGAAACGAACCGGTGAGTAAGTACCCGAAAATAGACTTTTGGGCCAACAACGAATTCAAAACAATTTTTGGGGGTTCAGCTTCCAATATTTGGGGGTACAAATCAGCGCCAAGTAGCAAATCTATTGGGCTGCCATCAAAGGTATCAGCTAAATCTAAAGGAATTTTAGATTTCAACATCGAAATAGGTGGAGGTGAATACAATTTCCCCTTAACACTGGGCCGAACAAGTGCTTTTGCTTCAACAATTTTAGAATTTTTAGGGGACGACAACTGTAGAGAACAAACTTTTCTTGGTGTAGGAGATTTGCAATCTTTCTTCGAATCAACCGAAATGTTAAGTGCATTTTTAAGTCTTTTACTAACAATAGATACCTTTGAAGAAGGATCAATAATGGCACGCGTTGGATGCGTTTTCCCATTATGAACAATATTTACCACAGCTGTTCCCAAGAGCACATTACTATCCTGGGCGGTAATAGGTATCTGGCGATTTTTATACGAGGAAGTGTGCGACAAATTAGATGCTCGACTTTTGACTTTGGTAAAAGCCGGAGAAGGGTTTTCCGCTGAACGGGACAACAAATTATTTACTCGACTTCTGACCTTGGTAAAAGCCGGAGGAGAATTCGATGAAGCAACTCTATTTATTTGTGGCCGGTGAAGAAGGCTGTGGTGCCTCTGATTGCACAAATTGCAACTATATTTGCTTTTGCAGTTTTTGACTGCATGGCCAAGGGAAAGACAGTTCATACAACGCTTATTTTTCTTCACTATCAAAAATTTGTCCTCAAATGAAAGTTTTAAAAACTGGGGGCAAAGTCGCAGATGATGACTCTGATTAGGACAAATGGTGCAAGAAATTTTCAATGATGATTTCACAGTTGGAGAATGAGTGGCACATTTTGAATGCTGCACCGACAACAATTTATGGGTGGAATTAGGTGGAGTGATATTGCAAGGTGAAAGAGTTTTCTTTGGCGAAAAAAATACCTTTTTGGAGGGGAAGATATTTTCAAGGCAGATCAATGTTTGTATTCTCTCTGTTAGAAAAGTATTTAATCCTCTCCACGTAGACAACGACGATTTGATTTTGATACTTTGCTCCCACAGAGTCAAAGTCAATTTTGGCAATCGCTGCAAACAAATAAAAACATCAATCGGATCCCAATGATCCGTGGTGACGTCATAGACTGACATTGCAGCGAGACAACTATTTATTCCACGTTGGATTGCTTTCAAACCAGAAATAGTTTCAATCTCGACGGAGGGGATGTCAAAGACAGATTTGAGGTGATAATGTACTATGATACGTTTATTTTCATAAGTATCTGAGAGAGGTTTCCACGTTAAACGGAAACTACAATTGGTGAGTGGAAATCTGGAAACGATTTCACGAGCCTCGCCGGTGGTCTTCTGTACTAGATGACAGAGACGTTCAATATCCGATAAACGACCATTGTTTATAAAAAGGGTGGTGAAGAGATCCCGGAAAGTGGGCCAAGATATGAAATCCCCAGCAAAAACTTCAATGTCGATAGGTGGGACAACAAAACTATGATTATCGACAGGCGGGCAAGTGTAGTTATTGGAGGTGGTAGAATATTGAATTTCAGGAGCAACGAGAGAGGTGGTGGACTGCACAGATTTGCTTGAGGGCAAACCGGAAGGAGAGCAATTCAACAATGTGCTTGATGGATTGGAGGTACTACAACTTGATGGAGGTGATGAAAGTAAAGGAGCTATAGTAGGAGAACTATTATCATTTGCTTGTAATTTAAGGTGACCGACATGCCGATTGATGGTGGATAAACACCAGGAATATGCAATAAATGCAGTATTATATTTTTCCTCTACGACATCAATATTATCTGTCTGTGCAGTCTCGGATGCCGTGAGGTATGTTTTACACTCATCATAAGTGCACTGGACTTTATTCCACAACGTTCGAATTTCTGAACTACGAATGTCGAGGTTGTGGACAGAATACGTAGATTCTTTTACATTTTCAAATGCTGCTACACTTTTCAAAACAATTTCAGTAGCGCTCTAATGAAACGAGTAAGAGGAGTTATCGACATTTTGTTCCTGAAATGTGAAAACCCGCAAAACGAAATTTCTCAATTGAAGAATAAATAACAATTAATTAAATGAAAAAATCGCAAAATTCAACAAATGTTACTGTAGCTCAACATAAATAGAAAAATACAACTAAACCTCCAAAATAATAGGGAATTTAGCAAAAATATCTTCCAAAGACAAATGTAGAGCAAATTATAAGAAACTCACCCCAGTACGACAACAAAAAACAAATGTTTTTGTTTTCTTTTTTTTTAATATCCTCAAATTTAGCAGAATTAATCAAATGTATGGTGTATTTGAGGAGGGGTATGCCAGTAGTAGGGTGTAACTATTTAAAAAGTACTGCGACAACCGAATACTTTGCAGTAATAATTGTGTGCAATTAGTAGAAACTTGAATAATACTATATTTTTATAAAAAAGGAGAAAATTTTGTCCAAATATGCCAAATGTAGGGTGCAGGTGACCAACAATTTCGAAAACCGTACAAGAAGTACTCAAATTTTCAAAAATATTGAATAAATAACCAAAAACAATGAAGAAATATTCGAAAAATTAATATTTTCCCATGTGCTAAATATGCTCCAATATAGTTGCAATAGTTGCCGACTGTAGGGTACAAATGTCCAAAAATATCAAATACCCTACCAATAAACAGTAATTATTTCGAAAAGATTTAAAAAAAAAAAAAAATAATTTTAATATTAATTTTTGCAAATTCACAATTTTTGTCGCTTGGTACCACTGTGCTGTAGTGTGGTGAATAACGAATATCACACAAAACAGAATAAAACACAAGCGACGCTAACAGAGAAATGTCTATGCGAAAGCAGCTACGCACCAACACAACACACGACGCGAGAAACGATCCAACAGTGAGAGTTGGAGCCGACAACAATTGTTGGTGGTATATTTTTTATTACACCAAGGTGACGCTAGAAAAAGGCGCGTGGAATACACGTGTGTTGTTGTTGTTGCAAAATGACTGTGCAAAATCTCCAGTGAGAATTGATCAACGCAGTAGAACAACAATAACAATTGGTTGGCGAAAAATGTAGCAACAACTATACCAAACGAGTAATAGGTGGAGAAGTGTGTATGTTGTTATTGTAACCAAAGTCGAGGAGACGTTTGAAATAAATAGAGGAGAATAACAACAGCAATAATTTCGTTTGGTTTGGTGAGGAATGAGCAACAAATAAACCAAACAAAAAGACAGTGGACTGTTAGCGTATATACCAAAGGGCAACGGTTGTTGCTTTGGTATATACGCTCTGCGGTGTCCGCGGAGGGAACTTGCAGAGGCAATACCCGAGCTGTCAATCAGCATCCGTGATCGACTGAGCTCAGGAAGTTGTAGGCCAATGTATCAAACTTAAACAAGGACCTTACGAGCTAGTCAATAAAACAAAATTTAAAGATACAAAAATAAATAAAATAATAATATTTTTTAATTAAAAAAAAAATTGGAGGATTATTAAAAAATATTTTTTTACAAGGAGTGGATTTTTTAAAAATATGTTTTTAAGGTTCCAACTAAGGCGTGGATTTTTTAAATCATTTCTTTTTTCAAGGCCTATATAAGGCTTGGATTTTTTAAGTAATTTACTCCAAGGCCTATACGCCTTTGGAAAGTTCTACATTATTTTATTTTTTGAAAATCCACGCTACGTGGATGCCTCCTAAAATTAAGTTTAAAAGTCAAAAGTGTTTTCCAAATACATGCACATACATGAATACCGTCTACTATGTTGCAAATCCACAAGACAGCACTATCGTTCCATAAGCCGAGCTTAACAAATCTTTCCAGGCACGTCGGTCTTTTGCGCAGTTTTTCCAATTTGAAAGACCCTATTCGGCAATGTTGTCTTCGACTTGATCTTTCCATCTTATTCGCGGCCTTCCCATTCTGTGTGAACCATCAGCTGGTTCGCTTATATATGCCTTCTGGGTTGGGCCACATTCATGCATTCTCACAACATGACGTAGCCTACGTAGTCGCTGCAGCT